ATCACTTCACACAAGTTGTTTCAATGGATGCAAAACGAAATGGAGTTATCGATATGCTTGAGTTCCCAAAACTAAACAGCCTCGTGCTTATTGGTTTAAGCAATTTTAAAAGCTTCAGATTTGAATCAAACAACGATAGCATTATTTGAACTTTGTTCAACCAGGTATGAATCCTTCCTTTTCTCCGTGAGCATCTTGCCATATTTGTTTTCGAGTCCATGCATGCAAATTGAAGAATCGGACAAATTATGAAAATTTCTGCAGTTATTTTATAAAAAACAATTTATTAACATTAGAACAAAAATATTAGTCAACCATTTATTATAAAAAAATAAAAAATGTTTGTTACAATCGACTCGAACAAAAACTAGTGTAGAAAAGTATTAATTATTATATATGAGATAAAGAATTATGATGTTAGCGTCGTGGCTTACACCATTAAGTGAATTTCACAGGTTACATTGCCTAACATGGAGAAGCTGCGCATTCTGAGATTGCATTATATAGTAAAGTTAGTGAACATGAGGGCAAAGAATACAAGTAAATCATTACAAAATCTTGAAATACTTCATGTAGAAGACTGTGAATCACTGGAAGTGCTGTTTGACTTTGAATGTCTAACAATTCCATAAGATCATGCTGAAGGTGTATTTGGTCAACTGAGATCGCTGAGGCTAGAATCTCTGGACAAATTAGTGCACATTATAGGGACCGTTCCTAAAGGAATTCGTATCTTTGAGAATTTGACATCAATTGTTGTTAAAGAATGTAGTATCTTAAAATACCTATTCTCACCTTCAATGGCCTATTCTCTTGTGGCACTGAAAATTATAAAGGTTACAGATTGTGAATCAATTAAAGAGATTTTTGGAAAAGAAGAAGAAGGCACTTTAGAGATCCAAATAGTTGAAGCAATGAAAACCACAATTGTGTTTCCTAAGTTGGACAGTTTACTACTTTGGAATCTTTCAAGTATTCAAATGTTTTGCTCTCAGAACTGTGAACTTGAGTTCCCTTTATTGGAGGACTTGACCGTTGAAAATTGCCCTATGATGAGAAAATTGAGTCCATGGCCAGTAAGTGCACCAAAGCTTTGATATTTCCAATTTGTTAGTTAAGGCAGGTATGTATGTGTTCTCGATTCCTATTTTACTTCTTCTACATTACTTCTATATTTGCTTTTACACTATTTATTTATATTCTTTGTTCCTCAGGCAGCTTGGAAGAGGAGGATCAAGTGTGTGACAAATAAAAATTACTTGAGAAATATAAAGTTCTTTATTTCCTAGGTATAAATCCTGATGAAATTATTTCTTGTCTATAAAATATCTATTTAAATTCTACTGATTAAATTATTAAAAACTGTGTAATAAGTATTGTTAGTCTTATTTGAAATGCTCGCAATATACAATGAGTGGTTTAATTTCAAGCTTTTGGATATTTTTTATGTTCAATAATTGATTGTGCATGGAATATTCACCAAATATTAATATATTCCCTCGTATAGTAGCCATAAAATATTATTG